ACGCCCTCTCACGAAGCGATAACGGCAGATTCCTTAATCGACGTGTCAGGGTAGGAGGTCTATCCACCTCCGACTGAAGCTTCCTGGAGCTTCCAGAAGCCTCATGGAGCCGCCTGGGGAGCGCCTGGAGCGCCTGGGAGCGTCTGAGAGCGGGGAGCGTCTGGGGGCGCCTGGAAGCGCTTGAGGAGCGCCCGGGGAGCGCTTGGGGGGCGGCTGGATGCGCATGGGCGCTCCTGGAGCGTCCAGGAACTCATTCTGGAATCTCCACGGGCTGATTTTCAGTCTGTGGACCACACCATCCTGAGGCCCCCCAGGCCCGATGCCGCGGAAGAGTGGGAGTAATCCTTTCTGTGCTACAGTCAAAACGTATATTAAGGACGGGTGGCAAGGACGCAAGACCCTTGGAGGCCGAAGTTGGGAGTCTTTGGCCGGCGGGCGACCCATGAAAACGGCAAAGGACGGGCCGCAGAGGCAAGAACACGAGGGTCCCCCAGAGGAAGGCGCGCGTCCTGACTAGGCGCGTTGGCTGTGCGCACACTGGGAGAAGGCGCCGCCGGCCTTCCGCACCGCTCGGGAGCGGGCCGAAGCGGGCGGGCAGACCGCCGCCCGCCGACGCAGTGCCTCTGGCGCTCCGCGGCGCGCTCCGGCCAGCGGCCGCTCGCTGCCTGGCGGTCGTCGGAGGCCGGCGCTCGCTCCGGAGAGACGGAGAGACAGAGCGGGAGAGGCGCCGAGGTGCGCCCTGGGGGGCGGCCCTCCAAGAGCTCGGCGGGGGCGCTCTTGAGCGCCGGAACTCGGACGTCGCATCACGTGGTCGCGTCACGATCTTGGGCGCATACTGTCGGCTCCACGGATGCAATCCCTCCCATGTGCTCGAGCATGCAGCGGCATAAAAAGAGCCAGAGAGGGAGAAAGAGAGAGAGAGAGAGAGAGAGAAAAACAACAAAACAAACAACAAAAAACAAAAAAAAGCAGGCTGGCCGCACCAACGAAAGCAAGACAGGAACACTGGAAGCGGCAGGCGGCGGCGCCAAGAGCGTCCCCATCGCACGGAAGGGGCGACGGGGCCCCGGCGCCAGCGGCCGTGCCAGAGGCCACAGTCGGCCCCGGATCCCGCCGCCGCCACGGCCAGCGAGGGGCGCAGGGAGCAGGGGAAACGCGCGAGCAGCTCCAGCTCCTCGGCGCCCCGAGGGGGCTTGCCCCTGCGGCGGAGGTTGGCCCACGGCCACCGCCCGCCTCTCGGAAGAGGTGGGCAGGACCAGGAGGCAGGAAGGCGCTGCAAGAGCGGACAGAGCCTCCGCCCGCCCGCTGAAGAGGAGGGAAGAGGAGAGACCACGCGACTCTTGAAGTAGGAAGGCGGTCAGAGAAGACAAGGATCGGGGCGTCCAAAAAAAAACACCTACCTCCAACGACCGACGGGTCCTGCGAGGGGCAGCCGGTCGACGGAGAGGGCCCGACGCCTGGCACGCCGGTGTCGGGGGTCGCGGCGCCGGGGCCCCCTTTGCGGCCCGCGGCCGGGGGCCGTGACCGCGGCCTCCACGTGGAGGTCGCTGGCATCGTGGTCGGCGGTCAGGCTGGCTTGCCGCAGGCGACGACGACGACGACGACGACGACGACGACGACGACGACGACGACGACGACGACGACGACGACGACGGCCGCCGCCGCCGCCGCCGCCGGCGGCCGCCGCGCGCCGCCACGGCGGGCGGCCGGCGGCGGGCCCTGCGCTGCCGCAGCGGCGGGGTCGGCGGTCGGGCCGCTATTTGCCGCAGCGGCGGCCTCTGCCCCCGCGGCACGGCGTGGCGGCCCGATAGCCGTCGGTCGGAAGAATGGGGATCCTCCTCGTCCTCCTCGTCCTCCTCGTCCTTCTCGTCCTCCTCCTCCCCCTCTTTCTGCTCCTCCTCCTCCTCCTCCTCCTCCTCCTCCTCCTCCTCCTCCTCCTCCTCCTCCTCCTCCTCCTCCTCCTCCTCCTCCTCCTCCTCCTCCTCCTCCTCCTCCTCCTCCCAGAAGATGGGGGGCCACGCGCGAACCCTACCCCTAACCCCCACGATTTCTGAGGGGGGGGTCACTTCGCTCGGGAGCTCCCCAACGAAGTGAGCCCCGCCCTCCCCCTCAGAAATCTGGGGGGTGGGGGGTGGGGTTCGCATGTGGCCCCCTAGCAGGACGGCCTCTGCCCCCGCCGCACGGCGTGGCGGCTCCATGCCCATCGGTCGGAAGGAGCAGGCAGGAGCACGAAGCAGGAAGGCGTTGGCAGTGGAGTCAACCCGCACAGTGAGGATGCGCGGGACGGATGCGAGGGCCTCAGAGGGCGATGTTGACGTTTTTCCAGCGAGGATGGCCAGCGAACGTCGCCAAGGATGGACCGAAGGGGCAAGGATGCAAGGGCACCCTTGGGGAAGCTTCCCACCCTTCGTACGCGGGTTGAGGCCCGTCCGCCAACCTGAGAGGATGGAGAAGGTGGAGCCACTCGCTCCTCGAAGTGGGAAGGCGCCTACAGAGGATTCCAAGAAGACCTACTTTCAAGTCCAAGCATTCGGATCTGGGAGCCCAAGAGTACCTCGATTGGGATCTGTGAGTCCAAGAATACCTACTTTCAACGACCGATGGGTGTGCGGTCAGGCTGGCTTGCCATAGGACGGCCTCGCCTCAGGTCGGGCATGTCTCCCTACAGGCGGAGTTTGGAGGAAAAATCAAAAATAGTTGAAAAAAATACCCCACCATGGACAAAAATGGTCCAGAAATCGTCCCAAAACTATTTTTTCACTACTTTTGAATATTCCTCCTGTAGAGGGACAGGCCCGACTTCAGCATAGCATCCGCTGCACAGCATGACGGCCCAATTTTCGCCAGCGGCGCCGAATTCTGTCAACGACCGTGCCGCGGAGGCCGCTGACAGGGCCGGAGCTTCGGCTGACGACCGCGACAGCAGTTCCAACACAAATGGGTGGGCTGTGAGTCTGGCGCCGTGGGAGGACGGATGTTGTCGTCATCGTCGTCCATTTGGTTAGAGGTTCCTCGGCCACCGATCAACCTGGGACTAGCATTCCAGCCGTTGACCGTGACAAGGGCGACGGCTGTGGCGGCAACGTACACGTGGGCACGCGTGTTGGGCGTGAGAGGAAGGAGCAGGCGAGGGATAGGAATAGCCTCCGACCTCGTCGCCGTCCGTCTCGTCTGACTGGGGATGACTCTGCCACGGCCTGGACAACCTGGCCCAACCGCGCGGGCGTCCCGAGTGACCGTGAGCGGCAGGTGGGAGTGAAGAGGGAAGAAGGGTCTGAAGTCCTCACCCTCATGCTCGGTGATGGCGACACCCTGTGCGCCCGTGTGCAGAGATGGGATGGGGCGGATGGTGGGAACGAGAATCTCCTCATCCTCCACCTCGTGGTGGTAGACTTAGGTCGGGCATGAACCCCATACAGGCGGATTTGGGACGACAAAAAATGTAGACAACGAAAAAATGTTTCAACAAATACGCAAAAATGGTTGAAAAATCGTCACCCAGACTATTCTTCGACTGTGTTTGAATATTCCTCCTGTGGAGGGGCACGCCCGACGTAATGGTACGCGAGGGATCGGCCAGGCGGTCGCCACCCGGCAGGCATGCTGCGCCCAGAGGCATACCAGACAGAACGCGACGAAGTCCGGCATGCCGTGATGAAGAGAGGACAAAGAGAGAGGAAGAGGAGGGGGAGGAGGAGGAGGAGGAGGAGGAGGAGGAGGAGGAAGAGGAGGAGGAGGAGGAGGAGGAGGAGGAGGAGGAGGGAGGAGGAGGGGGGAAGGAGGAGGAGGAGGGGAGGAGGAGGAGAGAGAGAGAGAGGGAGAGAGGTAAAGAGAGCGGAACAAAGCGGGATGAAGAGCCAGCGAGCGAGAGAAAGAGAGAGATAAACCCCCAAAAAAAGGAACGGGGTCAAAGAGGGCACGGGGGAGAAGAGGAGGGCGACGACGAAGAGGAATATCAGGAGCTGGAGCTGGAGGAGAATGCGAAACAAATCGATTTGTCGCTCTCTCTCCCTCCCTTCCCCCTTTCTCTCTCTCTCTCTCTCTCTCTCTCTTTCTCTCTCTCTCTCTCTCTCTCTCTCTCTCTCTCGTTCTCCTCCCTCTCTCTCACTCTGTGTATGTGTTATGTGTGTTCCATATATGTCTCTCTCTCTCTCTCTCTCTCTCTCTCTCTCTCTCTCTCTCTCTCTCCTATATATTATATAATATATATATATATATATATATATAATATATATTATATACCCTGCCCCACCTTTTTGCGTGCGGACACGCCAATGGTCAGAGTAGGCTAGACCCCCCTCAAACCCCCCAGCTACTGTACGCGCCGGGATGCAAGGGTACCCTACGCCACGCATTTCCTAGGCGGCAAGCACGCGGCGCCTACCGCACCGCGCGCTTGCCACCTAAGGCGTGCGAGGTGGTCTTCCACCGTTCGCATACAGCAATCTGGGGAGGGGGCCTACGCTATCTTCTGGGCTACGGCACCAGCAGAAAGCGTGCCTCAACACGGAAGGGGTGGACCGCGGGTGGGAGCCCAAACAGGCTACGGACGTGTTGGGGCGGCGTGTCCTGGCCAAAGGGGGGAAGACGGGTATACGCATACAGGGGACCAGTATACAGACATACCCTGCCCCACCTTTTTGCGTGCGGACACGCCAATGGTCAGAGTAGGCTAGACCCCCTCAAACCCCCCAGCTACTGTACGCGCCGGGATGCAAGGGTACCCTACGCCACGCATTTCCTAGGCGGCAAGCACGCGGCGCCTACCGCACCGCGCGCTTGCCACCTAAGGCGTGCGAGGTGGTCTTCCACCGCTCGCATACAGCAATCTGGGGAGGGGGCCTGCGCTATCTAACTCCCCCACCTACTGGCCTTAAGGCTACGTAGGCCGTCCGTGTTTAACTCCCAACCCCCCCTGAAAATGGCATATTTATGCCGGTCCTTACTTCGGGGGTGTGCGGGGGGGCAAACCACAGGATTGCCAGGGGGGTCTGGACACGCTACCCGCGCCAGGCCACAGGCCTGACGCGGGGCAGGCACCGCACAGGGCGGCCCTAGACGTGCCAGACACCCCCAGCAGCCCCTTGGTTTGGCCCCCCAGCACACCCCCCCACTCCACGCCCTTTTCCAGCCCTTGCTCTCCACACGGCACGGCAGCCTTTTCTGGGGTCCAAGGACCGTGAGGACGGCACCCAGGAGGGGGACAACACTCTGCAGCCGCCGGAGCGGCGCGGCAACGCCCAAAGGGCAGGCCGCGCAGAGTGTTACCCCCCCCTCTGGGTCCCGTTCTCACGGCCGTTGGGCCCCGAAAGGGTCGGCACGTTCGAGGAGGAGGTGACGGGGGGAGGCGACGGGAGGAGGTGACACGATGCACGGAGGAGGTGAGACAGGCGTGGACGCCAAACAGAAAACGCCCCACACAACGGGCGGGCCCAGGGGCCCCAGGAAACCAGGACCAGAGAGAGAGAGAGGGCCACGCGGCCCCACGGCGGGAGGGCGGTTGCCTTCGCCGCAGCGAAGACAAACGCCCGATGTTCGGCAAGCACTGTTGGGCGCGAGCCAGCTGCAGGAGCGGGACGACACGGCCATCCTGCTGCGGACGACGACTGCGGCGGACGACGACTGCCTCCGCGCAGTCCTTGCCAGCCGTGGTCTTGGACGAGCTGATCCGGACCACGAACAGCTCGCCGCGGTCGACGATGTCGCCCACTGTCAGGGCAAACACCTCCGCGCCTCGGAGCATGCCCTCGAAGCCGACGAGAAGGAGGGCGGCCACGTCGAAAGCGCCTGCAGCGCACGCGAACCCCGCCATGGCCGCGACGGCCTCGGTCGTGAGCGGCAGCACCCTGGACGCTGGCTCATGATGCCTCCATGCCTTGAGGAGAGCCCAGCTCAGGTCAAGGTGTCGCCTCAGACGAGGCGCCGCGAAGCACACCCCTGCCAGCGTGTTGTTAGCGGCCGCGATGCCCGCACCAGAGGCCCACAGGCCCTCGAGGTACTCCGCGACGAGGGCGTCGGCGTCCCCGGGGTCGCCGCGCAAGGCGTCCGCCCCCGCCTGCTCGGTTCCGAAGTGGGCCAGCAGGGCCCGCAGGGCCCGCCCGTAGCGCCGCCGCGTCTCCGCCGACACCCTCAGGGAAGAGAGAGTCTGGCAGCGCGTCCCGCGGCGCCTCACGGGCGCGGGCCTGCGGTGAGCGGCCGCGCGCGCGGCACGGGTCGCCCTCGCCTCCTGGGCTTCGAGCCACGCCACAGCAGCCTCCTCGACGGCTCGTCCGCAGGGCTGTCCTCCGAGACCACGCAGCCGATCAGTGGGTACATGTCGGCCGCCACGACGACGGCCATCCAGCGCTTCAGGATGGGCTGGAGCTTCCTGCTGCTGCTGCGGCCCTTCGTCACGATGGCCGCGACCACCTGGCTGTCGACGAGGTGCAAGAACCTGCTCCCGCGCTGCGCGACCTTGCGGGCGCGCCACCTGATCGCCGACGCGGCCGCCTGCAACTCACTCACGTTTATGCGGGTGGAGCTCCGGCCCGGCCACGCCATGCTGACCACCACGCGCCACTTCCACACGAACGGGTCCAGGCTCGTCCTCGGCCAACCTCGCCGGCGGTAGGGGACGCCGTAGTCCAGCCTGACGTCCGACCCGCCCTTCTCCGCGCGGCTGAGGTAGTGCAGGACCAGCTGCCTCGCCTCCGCGGTGTCCGGCTCCCCTGGCTCCGTGACGAAGGCCCCCGCCTGGTCCCACGTCGCCCGGCACTCGCGGACGGGGGACACCTCTTCTATCGACAGCTCCCTGTTCAGCGCGCCGCGGCGGTGCAGGAGCTGCTGGCACAACCATGCCACGACGTGAATGCTGAAGCTGTTGCCGAGAAGGAAGGCCCTGGCGTCGGAGGCGTCCTGAGGGTTCGAGCCCTTGGTGGCTAGGGAGGTGTACCCCACATCGAAGCCAAGGAGCCGCCCCCTCTCCTCGCTGGTGGGGAGGCGCAGGAAAGGGAACGAGGAGGTGCAGATCATGTTTTTGTCCTCGTACAAGGCCACATGATACCTGTGCCCGTCCGCAGCCCACCTTTGACGGGCCGCCTCCGATGCAGTCGCGAAGCCACGCGGGGCTGAGGGAAAGGAGGGCTGAGGCCTGCAGCAGACGAGCGTGGGGAAGCACCTCGGTCTCCCTGGCCAAGAGCAGCCCTCGTCCTCCCACGCGAGGTCCATGAGCGGGACGCCAGGGCCCACCAGCTCGTCGTAGACCCCGCGGTCGGTCAGCCGAAGAGGCGCCGATGCGGCGACGCCCCAGCTCGTCCAGAACAGGCGCGGCCTGCGGCACGGCACGAACACCGACGAGCACACCAGCGTCGGCCTCACCTGCAGCGCCTCCGAGATCAGCTCCACGTTGACGTCGGACATGCTGGCCACGTTCTCCACGAACCAAACGAGCCTGTCCCTGAAGACGGCGGCGAGGAGAGCCAGGATACGCGGCACCTCGTGGAACAGCGAGGACTTCCTGCCGCTGAGGCCGCGCCCGCCGACGTTGAGGCGTGACAGGTCCTGGCAGGGGCTGCCCGCAGCGACCACCACCAGGTCGACGAGGCCGCCGAACGCCTCGAACAGGTCCCGCACCGTCTCGCTGCCCACGCGGGTGACGTCGTCCCAGTCGATGACACCTGGCCAGCGGAGCCTGGCAACGCGCCTCGCCTTGGCGTCCGTCTCGGCCGCGACGTAGGCCGCGATGCGGACGGGCAGCCTCGAGAAGGCGACGGCGAGGCCTCCGATGCCGTCGAACAGGCCGATGAGCAGCACCGACAACACCCTGCGGACTGCCCTGGCGGGGACGCGCGGGTTGGCTGCCGCCCACGGTCGGGCGGGGTCCTCGGGCACGTTGAGGAGCCTGGCCCCTATCCCCAGCTGGTCGGGGACCGTCCTCGGCACCTGCAAGGCGGCGGCGACATCCTCGCGCAGGCCGGCTGACGTGCACACGCCGCCGCCCATCTCCGACGCGTCCGAGGACGTGACCACGCCGTCGATGCGCGCCCGCAGCGAGGAGGCGGCCAGCGGCAGGACCATCACGCCCATGAGGAGCTCCTCCACCATCTCCGCGTCCAGGTAAGCCCCCTGCGCTGATGACGCAGCCAGCGTCCAGACGGAGTTCAGGACCCCGAAGAGCGGCCGCCTGAACTCGAAGGCCCTCACGAGCTTGCCGAGGGCCGCCATGGCAACGCGCCACGGGACCAGGCGCCGCTGCACCGCGGCCAAGCAGAGGCCCGCAGTGGCCAGCGCCTTGGAGGCGGGGACCGCGAGGCGCCCGCTGACGCCGTCGACGTCCGCGCCCATGCGCTCGACCCTCAGCTGCCTGCAGTGCGCCTTCTCGGCCGAGAAGGAGACGCTCGCCCTCTCGTAGCTGGCGCGGACCTGCAGCTGGAGGTCGCTCGGGGTCCCCACGAGCTTGCGGGCCAAAACCTCCTCGACGATCTCCGGCGCATCGAAGTCGTCGATGTAGACCTGCCACCAGCCAGCGTCCTGGCCGCTGCCTGCCTCGACCAGGGGCCGCGCGCAATCTTTGCGCCACTCCCCGTCTGGGGGAAGCCCCGCCCCGAGGGGCGGCGCCAGGCGGCACAGCCGTCGGTGGATGTGCTGGAAGACGGGCACCGCGAGCGACCAGCCCATGGCGATGACAGCCGAGGTCACGTAGACGACGGGCTCCGAGCGGCCAAACAGCTTGCCCGCGAGCGGCCGCCCCACGGCCATGTATGGGGTGCCACGCGGGCGGGACCCGCCACACGAAGAAGGCCCCCTTCTGGTCGTCGCCCGACCACAGCAGCAGCTTCCCCTCGGGGATCACGACCGACGTCCAGGACGTCGAGGCCGCGAGCAGCGCCGCCTCGCCCACGTGGGCCTTCAGGAGCGAGTTGCCTGGCACCATGTTGAGGATGAGCCTGGTGACCCGCGCGGCGCCAGGCGCTGGAGCGCCCTTCTTCTCCACCGCGAACAGGCCGTTCAGCACGGGGTCGCCCCTCACGCGGACCAGCTCGCTCTCCGCGAGCGTGGTGAAGATGCCGAGCGACACGAGGTGCAGCGCCAGCTCCTCCCAGTCCGCCTCCGTCTCCACGTTCACGCGGGCCCGCGGCAGCGGGTCGGGCCAGTCGGACTGGTCGAGGAGCGCCAGCTCGGGGCGGCGCAGCCAGGCGCCGACCTCGTCGTCAACGAAGTCGATCGCGTCGAGCGTGGCAGCGCACTCCCGCGCGGGCAGGCCAGGGGCCAGCTCGCAGAGCCGGCAGGGGAGGGCCTTCACGCCCGTCTCGCCCTCGTACGCTGACCCGCAGCCGCCCGCCAGCTCGTCGATCGCAGGGACCACGACCATGGCCAGCGGGTCCTCCGCCAGGGCCGCCGCTCGGCTCTTCAAGTGCACGTAGACCTGCGTCTGCGCCTTCGACAGGGTCGGCCTGTGGCGCCAGCCTTCCTGCGCGCGACCGCAGAACGCGTAGTTGAGCGCCACCACGCTGAGGTACAGCCACGCCTGCTCGCTGACCTCCCGCGCCACGGCGCGGCGGCGGCACCTGCGTGCCTTGGGCAAGGAACTGTGGGCCAGCCAGCGGTCCACCTCCTCGGTCGACGGAAGGGGAAGCTGCAGGGCGTCCCGAACCCTCCTGTTCGACGACCCTCCGCTCCCACAAAATGTGTCCGCACGCATGCTGAACGACCGAGCGAAGTGGCCAAGGCTGCCTGGGTGGCGTCGCACTGCTGCCACCAGCCGCGCCGCCAGGTCGACCGCGACGATGCTCTTGCCGAAGCCGAAGGAGAGCTCGTCGGACCAGCACTGCAGCGCGGTGGCCAGCGGGGGCCCCGCGACGCCCTCACCCCCCCCGCATAGGGTGGCACGATCTCCGCCCTCGGTAAACCGAGTTTGGCCCACGCCGCGGACTCCCCCACCAGCACCCTTCGCAGGGCTCGCGCCTTTGATGGAGGCATCGGCCACCCTCCCTGAGGAGGCTCCACCATAGCGCGGGGCAGGCGGCAGGCTGCCGCCGCTCAGGTCCGACGGGGGCGCGCCGCCGCACGAGCTTTGAAGGCTCGCAGGCGGTGCTGGGTGTTCGTCCCCCCCGGCTGCTTCGGGAACTTCTTCCGCATCTCCGCGAAGGACATCTTCCACGGCGGTGGGGCTGCTGACCCCTCGGCCCGCGAGGGAGGCCCGCCCGCGGCCGCCGCCAGGGGGGCTGGTGGAGCCGCCGCGGAAGCCTTCCTGCGGGGCGGCCGAGCCCGCGGCTGGCGGGGGGCCTGCCCCCCAGGTCCCTTTGCCTGCGCTGTCGCAGGGGGTGCCCCCCCTGCCTGGCCAACAGACGGAGGCGCCAGCGGCGGGCGCGCCCCCGTCGGGCCCCCGCCCTATCCCGGCGTCTTGGCGGAGGCCAGCCGCGCGGAGAGCTCGTCCAGCTTCATCTCCCCGAGCTGGATGCTGCGGATGAGCTCCCCCTCCTCGCTGCGGATGGCCGTGGGCTCGTCGCGCGGCGGGATCAGCTCCAACCACTTCGCCGCCGCCCACGAGCCGTCCGTCGTTGCCACCTGCAGCGCCTTCAGGCGCTGGACGATCAGGTCGCAGGCGTGGGCCGCCTTCCCCTGCATCAGCAGGTCCACCGCCTCCGCGAGGGTGCGGAGCTCGCGGTACGTCTGCACGCCGATCTCCTTCACCGGATGCTGCGGCAGGTAGATCGTGAGGAGGTACCGCAGCGCGATCGGGCCCGTCGCGTCGACGGCCGCCCCCCCCTCCTGCGAGCCCAGGAAGTCCGCCATCTGCTGCAGGCTCAGCTCCGTGAGGCGGCCCGGGGAGGCGGCGGCCATCCGACGACAGAAGGCCCTCTTCGTGGCCAGGTCGCGCGGCACCGCCGCGGGGTCCGAGGAGCCGAGGCCGTCCCCGCCGATGCGCCTGCGCCAGCACCGCCATGCCGCCGCTCAGACCAGCTCCTGGCGGCGCCCGCTCGGGCACAGGGCCCCCTGACCCTCGGGGGGCCGCGTCCGAGGCGGCCATCTTGAGCTTCGCGGCGCGCTCGACCAGCAGGTCCCCGAGCGACCGCTTCTTCACGGGCCCCTCGCCAGCCGCCTCTGCGCCGAGGGGGAAGCCGTCCAGGTTGACGTCTCCAGCAGCCCGCTTCCCCTCCTCGAAGCGCACACGAGCCCCTGCGAGCTTGCCTCCCAGGCCGCCCGCGGCAGCTGCCTCCTCGTCTGCGGCCAGCTCTGAGCCAGGGCCGCGCGACGAGCCTCCTACGCTCAGGAAGTCGTCGAAGGGGGCAGCGCCAGGCGGGGCCCTGGGAGGACCTGCTGCGGCTGGTGGGCGACCCGCCGCCTTGGCCACCGCAGCGGGCCTCGCGGGGGCGGCGGCGGCGACCAGCGGCCCGAGGCGTGCTGCTGGCCAAGCCGCCTCTGGGTTCGCCTCCTGGCACTCGACGAACAGCGCCCGCAGGTCCGTGAGGCCGAGCTCCGCCCCGTCCGCCACGTGGATCAGCTCGGTGCACGTCCCCGGCCCCTCCACGACTGAGCACGGGTTCTCCGAGCACACGTGGATGAGCGGGCGCTCTGTCACCGCGCTCGGCTGCCCAGGGTGGCTGGCCCGCCAGTCCCAGTAGCCGTCGTCGCTGAAGAGGAACTCGGCCTTCACGAAGCGCAGCGGCGGCTCTGCGCTGGAGACACGCAGCGCCCGCCACGCGAACCGGCACTGCTCGAGGCCGCCCGCTGTGTAGCCCGTGCTGCAGTAGCATTTGCCCTGGGCCACCTCCAGCGGGACGATCGGCACGGGCCCGTCCTCCACGGGCGCGGGCACGACGGCCTCCGGCGCCTCCCAGAGGTCCTCGTCTCCACCGTCGAGGTCCTCGACTGCTGCCTGGGCCATCCAGCCTCGCGCCTGCCAGGAGTCAGGCCAGCGAACCTCGCCTCCCAGTGCTACCGCCAGGAGCGCGAGGAGGGCGGATGGCGGCCCTCGCAGCAGGCCTCGCGGCCACCGAGACAGCTCGTGGCCGTGACCCCGAAGAAATGCTTGGATCAGAAAGCCCAAACAGGCTACGGACGTGTTGGGGCGGCGCGTCCTGGCCAAAGGGGGGAAGACGGGTATACGCATACAGGGGAACAGTATACAGACATATGTATATTTCCCTCTCCATCCCCTTGCTCTGTGTAGATAGACCTGTACATCTAGACACAACATCTAGACACAAGCACAACACGTTAATTATACGCCCAGCAGCCACCGTGCCCCCCTGGCGCGCCTGGGTGTGGAAAAAAATGCCCGGTGATGTCTGGCAGGAGCTTTGACCCGAAGGTCTCCTGAGGGAGCCCCCCCCTCTCGTGCTGCCTAAAAGTCGCTCGGTCGTCCACTCCCCGTGCATGTTTTAACGTCGTGCGCGCTGTGTTGCGGCCGGCTGATCCTGGGTGCTCCTCGAGGGTCCTCGCCGAGAACAAGATCGGGGGCGGCCAAGAGGGGGGCGTCCAAGAGGGGGGGGGGGGGGGAAGGGGCAAATCGTGGCCAGTGGCACGTGCGCGCGCGGCCCAGGGAGGGAGCCAGGGACGCCTTGAAATAAGAAGAGGCGCCTGAGATCTGGGGAGATACCGTGGCCCCCGCCATGATATCCCCCCCTTAGTCATCACCCCCCCTCTCTGCCGCCCCCGACAAGAGTGCTCGGGATTCTTCTGACCCGGGTCAATCCAGACCCGGGTCAGTCAGGCCTTGCAGAATCCTGCAAGATCCTGCAAGATCCTGCACCCGAGCCCGGTTCAATGCGAAGGATCCTGCAGGATCCTGCACCCCAAATCCGGGTCAACGCGACGCTGGCCCTGCAAGACCGGGCGTTCTGGCTGACCCCCGTTTGTATCGACCCCCGTCTCAAGGCTCCCGAAGCGCGCACGTCCGAGCGATGCTGGGGCCGCCGAGCTGCCGCGCGCCCTTGCCCCGCCCCTCCCTGCAGCCCGAGAGGGGGGGGCTCCCCTCGGGGCGCCCTCCGACGCTTCTCCTCGGGAGCACGATGGAAGGGCGCCCAGGGCGGCCTGGGGTGGCTCGCAAGACGACCCCGGGCCCCGGTTTCTACCGTTGGAGTCCGGTCAGGAGGAGGAGGAGGAGGAGGAGGAGGAGGAGGAGGAGGAGGAGGAGGAGGAGGAGGGAGGAAGGACGAGGCGAGGAGGAGGAGGAGGAGGAGAGGAGGAGGAGGGAGGAGGAGAGGGGGGGGGGGAAAAGTGAGGCGGGGGGGGGGGGCGGGAGATGGAGGAGGAGGAGGAGGGGTGTGAAGGAGGTGGTGGAGGGGGAGGAGGCGAGGAGGAGGAGGAGAGGAGGAGGAGGAATGAGCGAGGAGGAGGAGGAGGGAGGGAGGAGGAGGAGGAGGAGGAGGGGGGGAGGGGGGAGGAGGAGGAGGAGGAGGAGGAGGAGGAGGTGAAGGAATGGCGAATGGAGAAAAGGTGAAGGAGGGAGGAGGAGGAGGAGGAGGAGCAGGAAGTTGGACGGGGCGGACGGAGAGGAGGAGGGAGGTGAAGGAAGGAGGTGGACGGAGGAGGAGGGCGGAGGAGGAGGAAGGGGATGGAGGAGGAGGAGGAGGATGAGGAGGAGGAGGAGGAGGAGGAGGAGATGGGGGTGAGGAAGGAGGAAGAGAGGGGGGATGTGGAGGAGGGAGGAGGGAGGTGGAAGGAGGCGGAGGTAGGAGGAGGAGGGAGGAGGAGGAGGAGGCGGAGGAGGAGGTGGAGGAGGAGGAGGAGGAGGAGGGGGAGGAGGAGGAGGAGGAGGAGGAGGAGGAGGAGGGGAGGAGGAGGAGGAGGAGGAGGAGGAGGAAGAGGAGGAGGAGGAGGAGGAGGAGGAGGAGGACGCATGGGGGCCGCCTGCGGGCCCACCTGGGCGCGTCTCGGGGGCTTCCTGGGCTCCCCTCGGCGCCACCTCGGGTAACCTTTTTGGGCAAGCTGTGGGCCGTCGTGTGGCCCCTCACCCTGGTGGCCCTCACATCACCTCACGCACTCGCAGGCCACCGGATGTGGCCAAGATGGCCCCAGAGCGCAGGCCTGCGAAAATTACAGTAGGCGTTCGACCACAGGAAGCCTTCCACGAGAGACCCCACCCTGAGACCCCAGGAAGGCCATATTGGCTTTCGGTGTGGGAACGTCACGCTTTCCCCAGCAAAACCATCGAAACCCGAGAGAGAAACCCAGGGCACCCTAGAAGCAAGCAGGGTGTTTCTTGGCATGGGTCTGTACTGTATGGGAAATCTGGAATCCCTACGAAGAAACTTTTTTATTAGGGGAACAAAAAGTGACATAAACATAAAAACTCGGAGGTCCGAGCGGATTTCTCGGATCGGCGCTGGGGCCCCCCCCCCAGCGGCACCTCCGGCGCCGCCCCTGGCGCGCTCCGCGCGCCAGGGAGGGGGGTCCAGCGCCGATCCGAGAAATCCGCTCGGACCTCCGAGTTTTTATGTTTATGTCACTTGTTGTTCCCCTATTTATGGTGATTCCAGGTTCCCCATCATACCGAAGCACGGGAAAAAAACCCATGGCCGGACAAGTGCCGGCCCTGGGTGCCCAACGGAGGGCCCAAGATGCTGCCACGGGGGCCCACGATGGCCCCCAAGACGGTCTAAGAGGCCCCCAATGGGACGCACATGGACATACTAATACTATATGTCCTCCTTGGAGGCGCGCGTCCGACCCGAAAAAATAGTATACCCATCTTGTAGTATATCGTTTCCCGAGCGGTGTGGCCAGAAAGCGCCCTGCCACGACGCATATACTATAAGATTTCTCGGTGCGTGCGTCGCCCCTAGGGGGGCGACGCACATATAATATAAGTATGTTGGGATGTTGCCGACCCAAGACCACCTCGGACCTGAGAGGGTTCCAAGAGGACTCACGGAAGGCCCGAAGACGTAGCAAATCGCACGTGTCAGATGTGCTGTTCAAGTGAGTGGCGCGCTAGAACTCTTCCGAGCTTCCGTCAGCCCAAGACGGCGTCAGAAACCTTCAGGTCGTTAGACACGACGAAGAAACCCACCAGCCGTGCAGACCGCGGCTACCAGGCAACGGACATCACGAATGTCCCGAGTACAGTGGAGGCCAGTCCACAAGAAACCTTCCACGAGAAACCCAACCCTGAGACCCCAGGACGTCCCCTGGGTTTTGGCGTGGGAACGCCACGCTCTCCATCGCCAGAAGCCCAGGAAGCCATCGAAACCCCGGGAACCCAGGACACCCTGGAGGCGAGCAGGGTGCCTCTTGGCGTGGGCCCCCACTGTGAGGCGACGAGAACCGCCAGCCGTGCAGGCCGCGGCCGCCCGAGCCACGGAGCTCCCCGGCGTCCCGAGCACCCCGCCTCGCCCGCCGGCCCCCCGCGCGGTGCTCCACGCGCCGCCCCGCCGCAAGAGCGCTGCGCGGGTGCGGCGGCGGAGCCTGCCGCGAGCAGTCGCAGGCCCCCCCCCACTCAGTACAGCGCTTCGTGGCCCCATAGGGAGCTCCACCGAAGGCCCCAGTGCCACCGTCCACATGCGTCCCCCTCACTCAGTACAGCGCTTCGTGGCCCCATAGGGAGCTCCACCGAAGGCCCCAGTGCCACCGCACATGCGTCCCCCCACTCAGTACAGCGCTTCGTGGCCCCATAGGGAGTTCCACCGAAGGCCCCAGTGCCACCGTCCACACGCGTCCCCCCCACTCAGTACAGCGTTTCGTGGCCCAGAGGGAGTTCCACCGAAAGGCCCAGTGCCACCGTCCACCATGCGTCCCCCCAAAACTCAGTACAGGCGCTTCGTGCCCATAGGGAGCTCCACCGAAGGCCCCAGTGCCACCGTCCACAGACGCCCCCCCCACACTCAGTGCAGCGTTTCGTGGCCCCATAGGGAGCTCCACCGAAGGCCCAGTGCCACCGTCCACATGCGTCCCCCCCACTCAGTACAGCGCTTCGTGGCCCCATAGGGAGCTCCACCGAAGGCCCCAGTGCCACCGTCCACATGCGTCCCCCCAACTCAGTACAGCGCTTCGTGGCCCCATAGGGAGCTCCACCGAAGGCCCCAGTGCCACCGTCCACATGCGTCCCCCCAACTCAGTACAGCGCTTCGTGGCCCCATAGGGAGCTCCACCGAAGGCCCCAGTGCCACCGTCCACATGCGCCCCCCCCACTCAGTACAGCGCTTCGTGGCCCCATAGGGAGCTCCACCGACGGCCCCAGTGCCAACGTCCACATGCGGCCCCCCCTACTCAGTACAGCGCTTCGTGGCCCCGTAGGGAGCTCCACCGAAGGCCCCAGTGCCACCGTCCAC